TCACAAGGCTGAGTTTCATAAGACAAAATGTATTAGTCACGCTATGCTTTAATTATTTTGTTATGGTTTGATGGTTAATTTCTCATATGATAATTATTAGCAGAGTGATAATTTGACAAATCAACTTCAAATTTAATTGATTAAACATGTATGATTTTCTTAATTATCCTTTGATATTCGAGTAAATCAATTTCATGTTTAATAAATTTATTAAGGGGTAGGTAAAGTTGACTCTCTATGGAAAGTTAGCACTTAGCATTCTGATGATTCCAATTCAAGATCAATGGTTGTGGATGATAAAATTCCGCCCATCTTATAATTTCACTCGACAGTTATTAAGATGTCTCATTTTAATTATTGTTTTAGCTTTTTTTTCATGTTCATCGAGAAAAAAATAAATATAATATATAATTTATTAAGTTATCATTTTTATTAAATACTCACTTTTTTAATGTTAAAGACTTAAAGAATGTAGTTGAAAATAATTGATGATCGTAATTTTGAATTTCTAAAGTAACAATTATTTTGAGCTAAGCAATGTTAAAATAGGATGGCGGGAGCACACTATATTTGTCTCGATTATGTTACACTTTTTTGTAACACCGTTGAGGTATTTTATTTTTTTATTTCCCACCAACATATTGTGCACTTATAAGTTGTATGTAATAACTACATCTTGTTACTATGTTTACAAAGCTAATTTAGACAATGAATCCAGATACGTAGAGTATACCATAATTCTCATTTGGATAGATACTATGATAAACTATTATTATTTAAATGTTTTTGAATTATTAATAGGAAATTAATTTTTTAATCAAACGTGCGAAGTTTTTTTGATATACAAATGCATTTGACTAAAGGATGTTAATTTATCTCATCATGTTCATTATTTAGAGATAGACTAGTTCACTTTTAGATAAATTCATAAGCATGATAGTGAACTTTGATGTATTTATGTTTTTTTAAAATAGATATTATTCAGTATCATGGACAAATATCAAGCTTTAAACGTACTAGTTTTACAACTTCGATGACTAACAAATGAAATAAATGTAACTACATGTAAGAAACAAATACTCCATGCATGTATATTTTCAACATGATAGTTTGGCCATGACTAACAATAAGCTTTAGGTCCCTCTATGCATGTGTATATTTTCAACATTATAATTTAGCCACATTAATGACTACAGTAATAAATTATAAACATAAATATCTACCTAATATTCATGTATAACCATTTTATATATGGAAATGATTAAAGTTCGACCACTTTGATGACTAATGACGGATCTTAAAATTCTGACAAATATGATATTTCTTACTTAAGTTTTCAATGTTCTTTGACATGTTTTTAGTGCTTTTAATGTTAGAATATTTCTTGATAGGTGTTGGATAAGTCAAAATGATCAAAACAAGGAAAAAATGAATGTTTTTTTTTTCATAATTGACATTTCACTTGTTGTAGATCAAAATAATGTATCGTGAACCCTGACATAAATAAAATTAGAAAGTAGTACGAGTAGGATCTTAAAAAATTTGACCAATACAAGATGAAAATATGGACTATATATCAAATTTATGGTCATTGATCTGAAGAAGACAATATTTAAAAGATGGCCCACAAAAGATTTCAAAAATTGTGGAATATTATACAATCCGTGGATTAAAACATGACAACAGTCTAGAAACTCTAAGCAGAAATCAATCGTAGATTAAAAAGAAATTCACGATACATGGACTAAAACAAGCCAACAGTTTAGTAACCCTAATAAGAAATCAACAGTAGACTAAAAAGAAATTCACGATACGTGGACTAAAACAAACGAACAGTTTAGTAACCCTAGCCATGCAGGAATTAATAGTGAACTTAAATCATATTTTTATGTACGTGTATAATTTAAAAAAATTATTCTAATTTAACCACTCTGATGATTAATAAACTATATAAACATAATTATTAAAATAGAATAACAATAAGTAATTTTCTTATGTACATATAAATCATAAAAATAGGAGTTTAACCATTTTAGTAATTAATAAACTATATAAAATAAGTACAGATATTAAAAAACAGAGAAATATTTTATGCATGGTAATGATATTATTTTTTACATTTTTATTTGATCGCTTTGATGACTAACACGCTACTTTTTTGTATAACAATAGTTGTTTACTATTGACATAACACACACCTTAAGAAATACTAATAAATAATAGAGATAATATTATTATATTATCCTTTGAATATATTAAATTTAATACTTTGAGAAATGTATTAGATATTGAATAATAGGAAGGGTAAATTATCTCTTGATTTTCCAAACTAGATAACTATTGTTGGACAACTATTTTTAGTATGGTGGACAAATAAAGATGGATTGAGGAAGTATAACTTTTAATCGAACATAAAGTATAAATAAATATAATACCTTCTTCGTTTTATATTAGTTGATCAATTTTCATTTTGTATGGTATAAAAAATTATAAATAAGAAGATAATTTTTCTAATTTATCCTTTAATAAACTTCTTACAAATTTTACTAGCAAATGTGAACACTTTAAAATAATTAATTATAAAAGTAATATAAAAAAAAATTAATTAATATTATTTTGATTTAGTAAAGTGAACCAATAATATAAAACAACTATTTTTAGTATCGAAAGGAGGGAGCATATCATTTCAATTTAATCACTTTAATGACTTACAAATACAGACACAACGGTCAACAATCAAATATTTATTGTTTAGTGTAAGGATCACTTCCAATTTCCGAAATTATGCAAAATAAAATTTATTAATAGGACTTTATTAACTTAAATAATATTCCTTGGAGAAATTTTACTTTCAAAGAACATGAGTAATTTAGTTTAAAGAAAATCATCCAAAGGAATTCACTTAGCTTTAAAGCTTTTGTTCATGGCGGAATTTTGGTGTAAATTATTCCAACAGATATTTAATTCTAGAACAAATATTAAAATTTTCTTGGACTTTTAAGTAGACTAGTAGACTATCATAATTGAATATTACTTGCGAACAACTTAATAACTTTGAAAAAACCCCTTAAAAATACATGATATGCCAATCTTCAGAAATATTAAACAAACAATTATAATCGGCTAAAATTGATTTCTACCTTAATTTTTGTATCCGTCTTATATTATCATAATTTATAACAATCGATGATAAAAATTGTACATAGAAAATATAATAATTCTAACACATTGAGGGAAGACAAATTTGTAAAGGTTGATACCTAATCTAATATGCCCATCAAATAATAGATCAAACTGACGTAATTTGTTCTTCATTTTCGAGCCACATATAAAATAATGAAAAGTCTAGCAATTTTAGATATGAACAAAAATATTTTTTATTTAGAAAAAAATACATAACTTTTTTTACTTATTCTTCTTAAACTCAAGCAAATATATATATACACAATGTAGACAAACATTATGAAAAATAAGTTGAAAGTAAGAGAGCGGGGTAATGGAGATGGAGGCAAAGAGGGTAGGAATAAAAATAAAATGTGTTAAAGATAAAATGTTACTTGTGAACTTTATTTTTCTTACTTTTATTAGAGAAATTGTTTTTCTCATAAGAATTTTTTTTAAAAATTATTCAAGGAAAAATGAAAAAAAAAACACCCTTTTATTTAATTCCTTCATCATATTTATTTGTTTTTTTTCTAAATAAATAAATAAATTGTTGTAGCTATTTTAAAGAAAAAACTACCTAAATATACAACTCATTTCACTATATTTTTTTAAATTTCCTATCATATGAAAAATTACAAAAATTTCTACACTCTCCTATTCTCGGATACAATACTTTACGCGATGTATCGGTCGAATACATCATTTTACATAATATATTAGTCGGATACATTATTTTACACGATGTATCGGGGCGTACGTGATGTATTGAAACGTTGAATGATATATCCATAACCGAAACGTGATGTATCTGAACGTTGGGCTATGTATCTAGACGTTTTGGGATGTATTCGAATTCTACCATTACAAGTTTTTTGTAATTTTGAAAAAAGTAGAGATGCGATGTAATTAACTCTTAAGAGGGTGTTTGAATTGACTTAAAAGTTGGTCAAACATATGTTTAAGTTAGTTTTTTGACTTCTGAAAGTGTTTGACTAAAATAAAAAAAAAACTTGAAATAAGTAAAAAATGACTTAAAATAAGTTAGAAAATGTTTGACAAGGTTAAAAATAAAAATAAGTTTAAAATGATTTAAAAACCAAAAATAGTCATCCTATTTTTTATTTTTGACTTAAAAACTACTTTTTTAAAGCTAATCCAAACGGGCTCTAAAACTATGAGATTTGTGTAACTTTTTTTTAAATTTTTTTTACAATGACATATTTAATGTACAAAAAGATATTTTAATTTAAGATTATATATATTTTTTAAAATAAAAGATTCCTTTGACGGGGATCCAAACACGTGTACACTGTCCCCAAGCCACTTGACCCAATAAATTTTGTACAAACACGTCACTTTCAGTATTCCAAGACGTAACTGTTCTAATTACCCTTTTCGTCAAATATTACTGGTCAGCACCTCACTATCCAGGGATAAAGTAGTAATTCACTTTCCCTAAAGGCACCCAGGTTTGCATATAAATAACCCCACATCTGCTTTAATAAACACCACAAATCAGTAAAGAAAAATAAAATAAATAAAATGTGTGTGACAGTTCATCAATGGCAGCTATTCAGTCTGCCCTTTTCAGTTACCAGCTGGGTTTTATCTTCTTCTTTCCCCCTTCTCTCTCTCTTGAATCTTTGCCATAGATTCCTGTAGTTTTTTTTATTGTATATATATATATATATTTTCTTTGTTATATCGTCATTTTCGAAGTCAATGAGCTTCGCAACCTGTTTTTTTTTTTTCGAAAAAAATTTGGTTTGAGGTTAGATCTATGTGATACAAGCGGGATAACTGATCTGTTTTTCTTTTTGTTGGGTTAGAACACTGGAGGCAGCGGTTCATCGATCTGTTCCCTGAAAAGCGATAAATATAGCAACAGGAAGCGATCGATAAACCTCTGCATCCAGTGCTTAACCCGCCTCACATTGTTAGGGCATCGATCTGGTTTTCTGTTTTCTGGCTGGTATTTGATTTCTGGTCTCGATTAATTTGGATTTGCGTTGTTTAAGATCTGTTTAAGTAAAAAAAATGTTTTCAATCTGAATTTTTTGACGTTTCAATTATTTTGGATTTGCGTTGTTTAAGATCTATTTAAGTAAAAAAATGTTTTCTATCTGAATTTTTTGATTCATTTAATTTGGTTTTGCGTTATTTAAGATCTATTTAAGTAAAAAAAAAAAGTTCTCTATCTGAATATTTTGACGTCTGGATTAATTTCGATTTGCGCTGTTTAAGATCTATTTAACTAAAAAATGTTTTCTATCTGAATTTTTGAGGTCTCGATTGTTGTATTTGCCTTGTTTAAGATTTATTTAAGAAAAAAAAATGTTTTCTATCCAATTTTTTTGAGTTCTCGATTTATTTGGATTCGCGTTGTTTAAAATCTATTTAACTAAAAATGTTTTCTATCTGAATTTTTTGAGGTTTCGATTAAGTTGGATTTGCGTTTGTTATGATCTTTATGAGAAAAAAATGTTTTCTATCTGAATTATCTTCCGTTAACAGGTATAACATTACGGGCAACTGTTCATGATAAGCTCCGATGCGCCTCCTGCTTCCACCTTAAAAAAACTACTCCTTCCGTTTCAAAAAGATTGGTCTGGTTTGATTTGGCATGAAGTTTAAGAAATTAAAGAACACTTTTGAATCTTGTGATCTTAAATTAATGTTATGTCAAATGTATAAAATTGTCTTAATTTTGTGGTCTTAAACATGTCACATTGAAAATAAAAAGAAAAATGTTCCAAAAAAAAAGAAAGAGGTCATTTTTTTGAAACTGACTGAAAAGAAAAAGAGTTCATTCTTTGTGAAACGGATGGAGTACTTTTTTAAAATATATTTTTAGGGTTGATTTCTAGGATTTCACGCCAGAGTTACAAAGGTTTTTTTTTTTTTTGTAAAATAATAGTTTTGATATAATAAATTAATTGACTTAACAAGCGAAGAAATTAACCTAATATTTTAGTTGTTTTTTGTTGGATTTTCTTAATGTACGTAGAATTTGATGTTTTCCCGATAATAGATATGAAGATTCCATAGAATTTTTTCCTTATTTATTGTCATTTAATTATATGTTGCTATTTTTTTTTTCGTATTTTCAAATTGGATGTATTTGGCCGCATTTAGTTCAGTTACACTGCATCATTGTAGATATCGCCTTGGCATTAAGCACTTTAGCTAAACCCTAAATATTTAAATATTCTGATTTTTGTTAATTATATTATAAATTTGCATATAAGTTCCTAATATCTAAATTCTATTTTAGCTATTCTACCTTCAGAAATTAAATAATTTAGCACTTGACACTCATACTCTAAGTTGTCATATGTAACGGAAAAACTTTATTACATGTCTTAACACAATTGATGGAAGCTTCATAGTTATGTGAAGTTTCTTTTGGCTTTACGATTATTATTTCTGAAATAGAAAAAAAAAAACTTCATAGTTTGTCATTAATAATTATTTATTTATTATGTGAAAACTGTGAGGAGTACCCTATTTGCATAGTTTATCTTTTCGGAAACGGAGCGGTTTATTTTATGTTTTTTTTTCTTTCATTCATTGAATGGCGAAAAGTACATGTTGGGAAATGCATCTGAACTCTTTTGGGCGTTCTGATTTATTTTTTCCTGTTTCATTTTTAGTTTCATCACGTAAAAATACCTAACGTATCATGATTTTAAGTTACGGTTGTTCGGGCGGTTCAAAACTGATATTTGATTCATGTATATTGAATTTATGTATGTTTCTTTAAAATTTGAAGTCTCCTTGTTATATTTTGAAGAATTCGAGTAATATAAACTTTAATTAATTTTGAAGAATCTGAGTAATATAAACTTTAATTAAGAGAAGCTTGTAACATATTTTTTTACCACAAGATTCATTAACTTGTAAGATTTATTTAGTTGCTTTAATTATTTGTCCTTGTGATATGTTAATGTTCATTTTCTTTTTTTACGCCTCGAAGTCTTATTTGGGTTAGATTAACATAAGAATCAATTGGTTAGCAAGTATATTTAATTGAGTGTCACTTTCATAATTAATGCGTAAAAAGTTGTTACTAGTTGTGGAGGTTTCAAAGAGAAGAGAAAGTTTGCCTAGTAAAGAAAGTATTGAATGTGGGAAACATGTTGAAAGTAAAGATGAAAGTATTTAAAGTAAGAAATCGTCAGAGAATCTTTACAAGTGAAGTGAACTCAATAGGAATGTGGTATCATATTCTTTTTGCATAACTAGAAACCTAGTCAACAAGGTTGGGAGCTATCAAAATTAACTTTATTTTCATGGTACCTCAATAGCATCACTAAAAGGAAAAGATTCTTCATCACTTTCGAAAATAAAAGAACAAAACTTTTATATATAATATTATTGTCATAATTTTTCTTTAAATCCTTATTCGATTACACTTTTTATGAGTTAAGATTTTATCGAAAATATATCCTACATAATAAACTTGTAGAATTACACTACTGTTGTTTTTATCTTTTTCTCTCTTTTTGTTTTTTCATTTATGGAGTGGTGATGTAGCCACACAGTCCCAGTAAGATTATTCTACCAAAAACAATTTTCACCAAAACTATTTTCCCCAATTTGTTGAAGACTATTGAATGAGTGATATTTGTCCTATTTGAATTACAAAGAGCAATAGCATCTGCATATGAGTGAAAGTGAAATTTGGGGTTGGGTAGAATGTATATGCAGAACTTATTATTACCTTGTAGAGATGTTGTTTTTGAAGGACTCTCAGTTCAATTACAACAAATATATATAAAAAAGAAGATAATATAGAAAATATAGCAACTAACAAGGAACAATGTAAAAGTACACCAAGAAACAATAATTATAAGTATCTTAATCATAGTCGAGCCAATATATTTAGGAAAAAAAACATTCCAATTTTAGTAAGATAAATATCTATTTCTCACAGAATTCTGCACCTTTTAATATAATTATTTCCATTTTATGCACTTTTCACGGGAAATAACTCAGTTTTGAGTTATTTTCAAACATATTTTATCATGCTTATTTTAATACCTACGTTATTTCGCCATGTTCTATTTTGTTTAGTTCTAACAGACTCTGAATATCACGGACGGACGTAGGGTTTGAGACAGTTTTTCGAGATTTCAATAACTTTTACCTAAATCTAGCATTTATTTTAGAGAAATTTATTAAATATATAAGAAATATTTGTTGGATTAACCTAATAAGAAAGTAGGCTCTTGGTTTAGTAACAAAAATAGAACCCATTTAAGCTTTACTACCCTCCTTTGACGAGGTTTCAATTGATTTAAAAGTTTATGAACTTCAAACTCTAAATCCAACACATAATGTAGGATCTGAACAAGTGGATTTGAATGACTTCAGAAAATTAATTTAGGGACACTTCATAAATTTGCCACACGTCATAGGCATTTATATTGTTAGGCAATTACTTTTAAACTCTAGAAACTTTTTTACTTAATAAAATGATGTAAAGTTAGGGACTCAAATAATTAATTTCTTCCATCAAGGAACTACCTAATGGTATTATTTAATTAAGAAATAAATAATTATTTTAATTATTTAATATGTGGACCACATTAAAAAATGTGAAAACATAAAAGTTTCAACACTATTTCATCACATGTGACGAAATTTTATCATATTGCACAGTTCCTCGACTAAAAAAAAGGGGGTCCTCATTTCATGAACATTTTATGACAAGTGGAATTTAAATAAATGTTTGAGTCCATTGGGAACGTAACATTATGCAATTGACAAAGAGTTGATAATGGAGTATGGACCATCACAATTATACTTCTCGGATTCACTTTTATTTATTCACTTTAAATTTTGTATGCTCCTTAATAATTACTTTTTTTATTCTACATTAATTGATCATTATATTATTTATTCAACTTACTAAATTAAGAAAACATTAAAACATATACTAATAATAATAATAAATTATTTTTAAATGATGGATAAAATAAATAATAATGAAACGAGGGATAGAAATGTTTGACATTAAGCAAACATGAATAATGCCAAATTTTGAATGAAAACATATCTATTTCACGGCCAATATAATGACATCTTTTGATGGTGAAAGGTTTTTTGTTTGCGTGCGCCACATGCACACCCCACTAGTAAGTACTACTCCTTTGTTTCTATTTATAAGTCACCATTTTTTTATTTTACGTGCATTAAAAAATTAAGTAAGTTTACTATTCTATTTTTATATTATTTTTTTTTAAAGTCAACTTTTCAATCAACGAATATGAATTAATTTGACCAATTAACATGAATTATTTACTTAATTTTTCTATGTTGGTCAAATGTATATTTTCATGACTAATAACTCACAAGGATAAAATAGAAAGAGTATTGTAATTTTTGCATTGATTTTATGAAATGACAAGTATTATAAATCAACTATATATAGTAAGGATGACATATAAAAAGGAACGAATGGAGTAGTAATTATGCTGAAATGTTGATGATTGGTGATTATGATATAATTAAGAGATAACTTAAACCAGTTAGTAGGTACTAGTTGGATTACAATCAAAGAAATTATGCTGAAATGTTGATGATTGGTGATTATGATATAATTAAGAGATAACTTAAACCAGTTAGTAGGTACTAGTTGGATTACAATCAAAGAAATTATGCTGAAATGTTGATGATTGGTGATTATGATATGATTAAGGGATAACTTAAACCAGTTAGTAGGTATTAGTTACTACCTCCGTCCACTTTTAATTGTCATGATTTACTTTTTTAGAGTCAAACTATAAGAACTTTGACTAACATTTTACGAAATATTTTTTCATCATATTGATATGCATAAAATTATAATTTATAATATTTTTCGTTTAGTTTTTGAATATCTAAAATTATTGTTTAAAATATCGAATTAATGTAATCTAATTTAACATTGAAAATTAGTCAAGTTTGACAAATAAAAGTGGACGGAGGGAGTAGATTACAATCAAAGAATGATTACATTTATTAAATAGAAAAATGATAAATATATCTCGAACCATCACAAATGGTATCTTGATATCTTTGTTATACTTCAAGGTTATATATATTTTTATCGTCAATTTTTGGATTATGTATATCCTTAAAACTAATGAAGAGATACATGGCTTCATCTCAATAATGTATTCGATTTTATTTAATATTTTTTACTCAAAATAAAAAAACCTAACCCAAATTTATTCAAATTTTGCATCGAATCAATCATATCTCTAAGTAAATTTTCTTTAAAAGAACTTGCTGAAAGCATCGTCCCAAAGTATTTTCACTCTACCAAAAGGACCCCCTTAAGCCCAGTGAGGTCAAGAAACATGTCACTGTCTGGTCCATTAAAGAATGGATCTATTTTGACAAACCATAAGCAGCCCAATTATTGATAGCTTTTCTCTTAGGCAAATATATTGTGAATATTCATGCAACATAACAGTTTAATAAAGTCATCAAAAATTATAAATCCTAATAGTTACTCCTATTTCTTATAAAAGTTTGATTACGATATAGTATATTATCTGTTAGTGATTATTATACACTTGTTAAACCTTTTCTTTATACCTTCGAAGCTCTCACAATTTTCTCCTTTAATAACTCGAATCTACAACCTTTTAAGGTTGGAGGCGAAATATACTTTTAACATCTGAGCAATCCCACTTGTCAAACTCTACTATACACGCATGACATAAATGGAAAAAATATGGTTAGGTGAGTGAAACCGGAAAAATTGTTAATATCCCAATATATTGCTTACTAGTTTTGGAGGTAGAAACATAAGAAGAAAACATCAAATAAACTTAGGTATTAAAAAGTAAACATGTATTGCATTAAAACTAATCTCACTAGAAACAAACCAAATATGATGTGAAAAGCTAATACAGCCTAACAACTGTTTAATACTTTAACGATCAAAGACATCTAAAATTGATACGATTTTTCATTATTACTAAAAGAAGGAGCCACAATCACAGAAGAATAAACCTTTGAACTTCCCTGTAATTGAATCTCACAGATCTCTTCTTTATTTATACTTTCTTGAACTAATTCCTCCTCTGTTTCTAAACGTTCATTATTTTGATATTTCCCTGCAAGTTTCTTCATGATGGCATGTTTCATAAGTTGATATAATCTTGGATTTTTTTCCAACAAACTGCAATTCTCTTCATTTGGTTTCAAGATTCCCTGGTTCTTGAAATTTGTTTTCGCGTTTCTTCCTCGAAGAAGACGTGCAGCACTATCATAAGCCAGAGCAGCTTCCTCTGCTTTGTCAAAAGTACCAAGCCATAGCCTGAGTTTTTGTGAAGTTTCTTTGATTTCAGCAACCCATCTGCCTGATGGCCTTTGTCTAACTCCAATAAATTTCTTTCCATCATTTGAGGAAATTGGCTTATTTTGTTGGATGTTTTTGGATGAGTTATTTAAGGACTCTGATGAGGATTTTGAGTTTTCCATTCTAATACTTACTTAGAGAGGAGATTAGAAGTGGTTTAGTTTTATGATTAGGTGGATGGGGAAATTAATACTGTTTTTTCTTTGTATATAATGGTGTGTTGATTGTCCTTATTGGGATATTTTAGTAGTTGAAAGATTATAATAAACATGTTATAAATGGCATCGTCATTGATACCAAAATACAATAACAATTAGTATGTCTCAATTTCAAGTAAATTAGGACTAGTTATTAAAAAATATTTGTTATAGTAGGCTGTAATAGAGTCAAGATTTTCACAATGGGGATTCAAAATACGAAAAATAAACACACAAGAAAAATCGAAGAGGATCCCATCTATATATTGCTCATCATGAGCTGCCAAGTACCAGTCTCGCAACAATAGTCCCACAACAGTATTGACGTAAAAGGATCGGTCCTTGATCACTTGCTAATTGTTCGCAAATCGAACTCACGCTTTTGCCACTCCTTTCACTCACTCACTTGATCTTAGTATATATACGTAAAAAGTAGATTTAACAATGTATAAACAATATAATTTTCTATTGAAGAGTGTTCGGATGAACCTCGTAGGCTCTTACTAGCTCCGCCCTAATTGTAGGTTAGATATGATATGAAAAATTGATAAACTAGTATAATGCATAGAGCTGAAATGTTGAAACAGTAGGTGCTAAACTACAAATAATATTTGTCATGTCTTGTTATAGGATCAACTTAAAATGATAAAAGGTTAGCACAACTAATGCCATTGGCTTAGTACTTCCAAGAGCCAACAAACAAAATTAATTCATCAAAAGTCCAAAAATGAATAGAGCTCTTTTGTGTTTCTTTCTGATTATTAGACTTCACTCTCTCTCCTCTCAGAAAGGTGAAAAACTAATATTTTGTTGTTGTCACATAGTGTATGTCTTTGTTAGTCTCTTAGAACATTCTCATTTTAATACTCTCATACTTCGATTCTCATTAATTGTACTTTAACATATGCTTACGTCAAACTGTTTGGTGGATTTTGTCATGCACTGTTCAAAATAATCCCCACATTGTTAATTGTTTCCAATATTATTTATGGTTTAGATATTGCTGCAGAAATCTGGTTACTGTCGCATGTGGTATCTGCTATCTCTGATCAACATAAAATTTAGTTGAGGTGCGCTCAGATTGACTAGTAATTTCAAAGAAAATGAGCAACCAAGAAAATAGAGCTTATTTTCTCGTAGTTTCAAAGAAAATGAGATTTCTTGCCCTTTTACGGTTTTATAATATTTGTGGATTTTTCTAAATGAAAATATTAGAAATAGCGAACATAATAGATAAAATAAGGCTTAGTAGCTATAGTTTCAATAATTGCGCTCCACATATATAGTTTTGTTTGCTATGGAAACTGCGGTTTGTATATTTCGCTTGTGAATATACAAATATGGCAAGTATATACAAAATACATTTAGGAATTTTTCAGAATTATGTTTGTATATTTCGCTTGTCAATATAAAAACATGAAAATTTATTATGAATTTTTTATAAATCATATACAAATAGTTAGGGTAAACATATACAAAATTCTGAATTTATACAATCAGGAACCGAATTATTCAAATTCTGAATTTATACAAATCAAGCGAAATATACAAATCAGGCGAATATCAAGAATTGCAAAAACTGTAGTCGCGCAATTTTCTTAAACTGTAGCTATAGTACCTAATATAGGCTAAATGTTTGCTATTCTACGTATTTTTTCCCATTTTATAACCAAGTACTAGTAGGGGTTGATTGCCTCGTATCCTTAACTTTTGAATTTAGCTTAATCAGTTAGCCCAATCAATCCAGATCTAGGTCTCAATTTGGGTTTGTTCTGTTGGGCTAAAAGCAAATAGGGCTTTGGCCCAAGGTGATTAGACACTGGTGGTCCATTGGTCTCCCCAATAGGAACTTGCAAGTTAAGAGCCCAAAATATTCACCTCGCTAATTAAGAGCCCGTTTGACCTTGAAAACTTTTTTTTTATTTTTTGGCTTTTTTCTAAAAAAAAATTAAAACAGCATGTGGTTACAATTGCACAAAAAAAGAGAGTAAAATTTACAGAGTGGCTAAAGGTTTTGCAAAGTGTGTGCTGGCTGCTAACTCAGGTTTCAACATTATTTTTGCAGAAAATATTATTAACATTATGTCATGTTATACTCCATGAGGTCATATGTTTAATGTACTTTGGCGTATTCCCTGAGGATTTTGAAACAGTGTGCTCAATAGTACTATAGTAGTAAGATTTTCCGCACTATTTATGGTTAAAATTAACGAAAACAATCTTTGTACCTTATAAGATAGAGATAATTAATATTGTGTATCATCTATCCTCTCTAAACCCATTAACCCACTTGTGGAATCACACGGATTATGTTGTATTTGTGGTTAAAGTTGAACAAACAACAATGTTAGAGGGAAAAGTTAACAAGTGAAAGGAATGAAAGGTCTCAATTCCCATATGTCGTAGACTTGGTTAATAAAATTATCTGATATACTTATTATAGATGGAAAATGAGACATATATCTTGTGAAATTAATCGAGGTAGGCAAAAAATCAAATGAATTTCACTACAATTTAAGAAAAAACAAAATTGTTGTACTACTAATCTCACAAACCAGTACTACTGTCTACTACTAATAACCAAATTGCCCCACGTTTTCTCATCTTATAATCCACGTGTCATGATCCTATAGCTTCATCAGTATTTTGTAATGCCACGTCGGATAATAAGGACCAAAGAAGAGGAACATGAAATTCAGCCGTTAAGAGTTGTTTCTCAATTTCTCATCACACATTGCCCATCATCTATAATAGTAGTTTCAATTAGTAGGACAAAATCCATTAATTCATCATAATCAACAAGAGTCTGCAAGCAAGCAGTGGCAAAGAGGCTGAAAAGTGATGGCACTTAGAGCTTCAGCCACCGCTAAATCACCTCTTCCTCCGCCCCCTTCTTCTTCTTCTTCTTCTACTTCATCACCACCTATAGTCTTAAATCTTCCTAAACTTACTCAAAAAACTGTGTCAGTGGCATTCTCTACATCCACTGCACTTTTCCTCTTTCCCCTTTTCACTGCGACCCATGAAGCCAGAGCAATCAGCTTACCCAAGGAAGACATAGTCTCTTCCCTTAATCAGGTACCAATTACAAGTTCCCCCTATTTGAATTTCTCATAACTTTTTATTGGGTTTTTAGTAAAACCCATTTCTTCAAATATGTTTTTTTTTTTGGGTCAAATCGTTTCTACTGCAGTTCTGATATAGTCTTACTATATTAAAGTTGGTACCTTTTTGATAATTTTTTACTTAGGCGATTGTGGATTCTACATCATATGTATTACTCATGGTTTTGACTTAGATACAGAGTTTAAGAAAGTAAAGATACGTGGAATGTTCAAATTGCTTTTTAATCCTGTGGTCTTAACTAAAGATACGTGAAATGGATCAAAATATTCCTTATTAGTATGGTGTTAACCATGTCTGAAAAGTTGAAGTTAAAGAGTTACTAAAAAAACAAAGAGACATTCTTTTTTAAATGGTCTGAACAAACAAATTGAGACAGAGGGGGTAGTTGATACAGTTCCACAAAGTTCTGTGTTATGTATGTGAATAAAACTTGTTTCTTAGCAATTTATTGGAAGCTTTCCTCTTTCCAGGTAGAATCTGCAGTTAATCAAGCTCAAGAGGTTGGTTCGAACATCTTTGATACTATAAGCGGAGTGATTGGGCCCGTGATTGAATTTGTGAAACCCGGGATTGATGCAGCATTGCCTTTAGTAAAGCAAGCAGGAGAGGAAGTTTTGAAGAACGCTTCTCCTGTCATATCTGATGTCACTAAGAAAGCCCAAGAGGCAATGCAGAGTGCTGGCATGGACTCTCAGCCAGTGATGACTGCAGCTAAGGTATGATGTTCTGGGACTTTTCGGTGTTTTAATTTGATTTTCATCTTTCTTTGCTCAACTTTAAATGATACATGATTGTTTGGTTGCAGACAGTAGTTGATGCAGCTCAACAGACATCCAAGGTGATTGAAGGGGCCAAACCAATCGCCTCATCCACAGTTCAAACCATTTCATCAACTGATCCAGCTGTTATTGCAGTGGCTGGTGGCACATTATTCCTGGCATATCTTCTACTTCCCCCTGTCTTCTCCGCTCTCTCTTTCAGCTTTCGTGGTTACAAGGGTAATTGGATGGGTTTTATTTCTCTTATTTATTTCCCTTAATTTTGTCGCTTTAGACCATTGAGATATACAGTGTAAACTATTCCCTCTAAAAAAAGGTGTACAAATGTAAACCAAGAAACATGCTTTTAGCCATAATTTTGGAGTGACTATAATCAGATTGGCTTGGTAGGTTGGTTCATTTAGCTATCTTGAGTGACTAAAATCATTATCATACTTGAAATTGTGTTCACAATTTGTTCTAATAGCATTATCTTGACACCAAGTTAGTTATTTGTAGCTTTATTATCATTTTCATTTTCCTGTTAATTTTTGGAATTAAGAAATTTGTTTTGGAATGCAATTTCCAGGTGAACTAACTCCTGCTCAAACACTGGACAATATGTGTTCTAAGAATTATGTCTTGATTGATATTAGAACAGAGAAGGACAAGGATAAGGCTGGAATTCCTCGTCTTCCATCTAGTGCTAAAAACAAGATGATTCAAATCCCGTAAGTTGGGTTTCTTCAAGTTTACATTCTCGCTTAGTAGAACTGCTGTTTTCTAAGAAAAGTAGAAAACAAAATGAACTGTGTTCTATCATTACTCGCATCATGTGGTATTTCCACTGCCGTTCTAATGTTTCAAATTGCTCTATCTCGGAAACAAGCTTGTCGAGATAAATAGATTAGAATGACATACATAAAGACTAAAATAAGTCTATTTTGTTACTTGTTTGACGGGTTAAGAAGGTTCTCTTTAATTTCTTGAGGATTCTCAGTCAGGAACAAACTGTGTGTGGTTCTTGATAGTGGCTGAACC